TTTGATTCGTAGCCTCACTTTGTTGAAGGTTGTATGAGAACTGAGCTACATCCAACAGTTTAGGCCAGTCTTGTTGTGAGGTACTAACATCGTGCCAGAGGTACATCTTTAATAAAGCATTCACCTTATCGATCTACCTATCTGTCTGAGGGTGCATCGTGGTGAAAAACCTCAAATTTGACCCTGAGAGCTTGAATAGTTTACTCTAAAACCTGTCCATAAATTGCCCATCTTGATCACCAATGATAGATTGAGGAACACCACAGTACTTAACCACATTATTGAGAAACAATCAAGTTGTTTCCTTCGTTGGGCATTCTTTAATTGTCAGAATGAAGGTTTCATACTTGGAGAATCGGTCCACCACTACAAAGATGTTGTCATATCCATCCACTTTAGGTAGACTGACTATAAAGTCTATGGAGACACTCTCTTATGGGTGCTCAGGAACCTACAGTGGTTCTAAGAGGCCAGTTAGTAACTTTTACTCCATCTTATCTTGTTGGCACACAAGATAAGTTTTGACATAGGCCTTTACATCATCTCTCATCCTAGGCCAATAATATCGATCCTTAATAAGGGCTAGGTGTTTGCACACCTGGATGGCCTGCCCATCATGAGTCATGACACTCTTTCATGACTTTTTTTCGTAGCTTGCCAAACTGTGGGACAAAAAGTTGATTCCACTTGGTGTAGAGTAAATCATCTTCAAGCCAAAACTATCTAGTCTTCCCTTCCTTCATGTACTGGATCAAGATTTTAGCTATGAGGTCTTGGGCTAGCCCCTCTTTGATACGTGCCACCAGGGGACCTTTTGGCCTACTAATTACTGCTAGTTCAACTTTGTGGCTGGGTGCATCAGCCACAACATTAGCTTTTCCTAGTTTGTACTCCATGGTGAAATCATACTCAGTTAGAAAGTCTTGCCAACGTGCTTGTTTGAGAGTAAACTTCTTCTGACTTTGGAAGTAATTAGTCACCACATTATCGGTCATAACCATAAACTTACTTCCCAACAAGTAATGCCTCTATGTGCATAGGCAATGCACCATGACAATCATTTTTTTCTCCTGAACTGTATATCGATGTTCTATATCATTGAGTTTTCTACTCTCGAAGGTAATTGGATGTTGGTCTTACATCAACACAGCACTAATAGCAAAGTTGGATGCATCAGTGTGTACCTTAAATGGCTTAGTATAGTCAATGAGAGCTAAGACTGGCTCTTTGATGATAGCTTACTTTAGGCGATCAAAAGCCTCTTGGCTCTCAGGACTCCATTTCCAATCTCATCTCTTCTTGATCATTTTGGTCAATGGTGCTATAATGGTCAAGTACTCCTTTATGAAGCATCGATAGTAGTTAGCCAAACTAAGAAATGATCGTAACTTTATGATCTTGGTTGGTGGTTCCCACTCTTAGATGGCCCAGACCTTGTCACCATTCATCCAGATTTGACCATTCCCTATAATATGGCCTAAGAATGAGATCTCATGTTGGGCGAATGAACATTTTTCCTTTTTTACGTATAGTTTATTCTTTCTTAATACTTGAAACACTTGCTGCAAGTGAACTACATGCTTCTCGAGCATTCAGCTATAGATAATAATATCGTCAAGGTATACTACAATAAATTGATCAAAAAAGGGTTATAGTAGCTTGTTCATCAAGGTGCATAATGTCACAAGCACATTCATAAGGCCAAAAGGCATGACTAAAAACTCGTACACCCTATAACGAGTCACACATGCTGTCTTTGGCTCATCCCCTTCGGCTATCCTTACTTAATAGTATCCTGATCTTAGATCCAGCTTGGTGAACCACCAAACTCCTTCCAGCTGGTTGATTAAGTCAATGATAGAGGGAATATGATACTTATTCTTCACCGTAAGCTTGTTTAGTGCCTGGTAGTCAATGCACATTTGTAAGAACCCATCATGCTTTCATTGAAATGTAACTGGTGCACCATATGAAGCTTTAAAGGGCCTGATGAATCCTACATCTAAAAGCTTCTTGAGTTATCTCCTTAGCTCCTGCAGTTTTGGGGGTAACATCTTATATAGGGCTCGAGCTAATGGTTTGGAATCGGGCACCAACTTAATGTTGTGGTCTACCTCCCTTTTGGCTGATAGTATCTTGGGCAATTCTGTGAGCATGACATCCTTGAAAGATTCCAACACCTCTAGCACCTTTAAGAGGGTGTTGTTATTCAGCCCTTAAGGCTTATCTTTCTTTAGTGCCACAAGAAGGTGGGCTCTTCCTTTCGCACGCCCTTGGTGAGCTAGATGAGAGATAGTGCCTTGGTTTTGATCTCTTACCATGTTTTACTGGGATAATGCATTTGCATTGTCGGTTTAAAATGCAAATGCAGTTGGCAAAGGGAATAAAGAGTGAATTGATCCTATCAAGGAAATCTAAACAGATAATAAAGTCATAGTCATCGAGAGGGATTACCTCGATAGATTCTTTATTTTTCCACGTTCCAAGCTGTAACTTGACTCATTGTGCCGTGCTTACAATCGAAACCTCTTTAAAGTTGATGATTTTAATCTATCTGGCTTCTTTCTTGACCTTGAGCCCTAGTCTCTTAGCCATTCCTTTAGACATGAAAAGATACGACACACCTGTGTCTGTTAAGGTGTTTAAGCATTTGCCCACAATTGAGATCTCGATGAATATGAGCCCTTTTCTTTTACACCTTTTCTTAGCATGATTTAACCAAGCTTTATTCATTTCTTATCGGGTTGCTCCTCATGCCCCTTGACAATGGCCACAAGCTTGGCTCTATTGGGACGGTCTTTGGCTTGGTGTGGATCGTTGTTCAAAAATAAGTCATGGGTTTGGTCTCTCGCCATTTGGTCTTTTTTTTGTCTCCTCTTTGGTGGACTTCCATTTTTACGTTGAGGCTTGCCACTGCTGCTCCTATCCTTGTCTCCCTTTCCTTTGCCTTTACCTTTAGGCTTGGAAGACTTGAACTTGTTTTCTTTCTTGAATTCCACTAAGGATTCAACAACAGTCATAGCTCGGGTGAGGTCCTGAACACCCATTCTTTTTAGCTTTTACTTAGCCCATGGCTTGAGCCTGTTTATGAATGCAAAAAACACCTCATCTTCCCCAAGGTTAAAAATTTAGAGCATGAGTTCAGAGAACTCCTGAACATATTTTTGCACCTTTCCACGTTAGGTGAACCATCATAACTTGGCATGTGCCTCTTCCACAAAGGATTATGGGTAAAATTGCTACCTAAACTCCTTTTGAAACTCTTTTCATGTTTCAATGGCAGCCCCTTTGTACTTAGCCTCTTTGAACCTGCCATGCCACCATAAAAAAAAATATCTATAAGATACATAGAGGCGGTGCTTACCTTAACAGCGTTCTCCTTATTGCCCATTGTACGAAAATATTACTCCATGCCCCATAAGAAGTTGTTTACATCTTTTATAGATTGTGTTCCTTTGAACTTTTTTAGTTTGTAAACCTTCACCCTCATCTTAGGGGCTATTACAAGTATACCTCCCCCTATGGCTGACTTGCACGTCGAGAGCCTCTTCTTGAGCTATTCCATCTCCTCTCTCATGGCCTTCACTAAGGCCTCTAGGGTAGAGTTCTTATGGGTAAGGCTTTCAATGTCTTCGAAAAGAGTTTGCCTTAACTCTCTTATGATTTTCTTTCCAGTCGAGACTAATTCCTCCATTTGGTCTTCGTATTTGTTTCACATTTCAGCCACAACCAACTCTACTTTGGCCAAAAGGGCATCAAAGGTTATCATTATGTCATCTTTTTTACCCTTTCCAATAGTGCGTGTCTTACGAGGCTCTTACCCCTCAGCATGTCGGTGGCTCACCTCTGAAATAGATATTTTCTTAGATTAGACGCACATTAAATCATGCTCTGATACCAATTATCACAAGCTTTGATCTTAAGCCTAGCAATGGTGTAACCTTAGACGAGAAACTATCGTTCAAGTATGCTTAAGTTAGCCTCTAACAGAGTTGAGTGGGTGTGCACACTAAGAAAACACTTGGTAAAAGAATACAAGATCTTTCTATTGTTGAAAAAATATGGCTTTTGTACAATTGTGCTTGAATAGCTTGGGTGGCTTACAAGTTCACTAGCTTTTATGTATCTATCTAAGGGAAGGGGGCACCCCTATTTATACATGAGCCCTCATGGCCTATATGGTCACTAGGGAGCTAAGTGTGTGGCTTTTATATACATTTTAGAGGGTTCCAAGGCCCATAGCCATGTACAAAGTCGATTGGAGAGTCTCTAGAAGAGAGCTGGTTCCAAGCACTCTACGGTGCACTGGGTCCAAAAGTTTTTAGGCTCATTTGCAGAGTGCCTATGCCTAAGGGCCTCCAGAGGCTTTCCTATTTAGGTGCTACAATACTCCTACCCATTTGTGCATCTAGCACTTTCAGAAGGTTTTATGCTTATACCACTGGCCTAAGTTCAGGCTTATATAGAACCTTCACATAGGGAATGCCTGCACCACCATTTTGGGCTTCTCTAGAAGCTTCTCTTATAAGGTCTTTAGGCTCAGCATCAGGCAACTTTGGCATGGACTTGTTCTTGTTGCCTGGTGCTTAGGCGAGGGTCTAGTCTCTTTGTGTCAGTGTTCGGGCTTTGGCTTTGATAGTGTTCACATGAGGTGTGACAATATCAGCAACTCCTCTTTTAACAAAATTATAAAATAGTGTATTAAGATAAAATTATATATTAATTAATATTATGATAAAAAATCAATTAAAAATTTTAGCTTTTAAATTAATAAAAATAAAAATATTTTTATCTAAATATTTAATTAAATATAAAATTATAATATATGCAAAAAATATTTTATGTATATTTATTTTTTTAAAATTTTAAATTAATTAAAAAAGTAATAATTTTGATCTTGGGTGGGATACTTCTAGTTTAATTAAATTTACATAACGTATGAGGATCACTTTTAATATAACTTTTTTCGTTTGGTGTTTTTCGGTTACTTACGCAGCAACTTCCGTATGGGTCCCAAGAGGTCCTACTACGCAGCTCCCTTGCCTTTTCCATTTTTGCTTCACTTGGGACCGTAGTAGGACCTTATCAGACGGTCCTTTGCCTAAGATCACCCACACTGTATCCGTCCCCTTTGCTCCGTTGACTCGTAGTTTCCACGACTCTGCCACCATTGACCTATCCCTTTTCCCTTCCCCTCTCCTATCACTGAAAAATAAAGCCTCCCCCCATTTCTCATTTGCTCTCTCTCTCTCTCATGGCTGCTCCTCCCTCTTCTTTTCTTCTTCTCATCTAATTTTTGTTTTCCTTTTCTTTTTCAATGGATCGAAGTTTTCTGCCAGTTTTTGCTGCAATTTTAAGCATCTTTTTTGTATCTTTAATCTTAGCTTTCATTATCATAATATGCAAATCAACCAAAAAAGGCACCCGCCCAAGCCCAACTGAAACCCCTAACCCTCCCGATCTCACCACATATGACAGCGCCGCCTTTGACCCGTCTCTCAACCGTCTCGACATGGCGGAACTCGCTGCCGTCACCAAGAACTTCTCCTCCGACCTCATCATCGGCGACGGCAGCTTCGGCTACGTTTACAAAGCTACTCTCTCTAACGGAGTCACCGTCGCTATTAAAAAGCTCGACCCGAATGCTTTTCAGGGGCTCCGAGAGTTTCGAGCTGAGATGGAAACCCTAGGTAAGCTTCGTCACGAAAATATTGTTAAGATTCTCGGGTTTTGCTCGTCGGGTCCTGATCGGGTTTTGATTTATGAGTTAATTGAGAGAGGGAGTTTGGACCAATGGTTGTACGATGAGGAACAGGAAAACTCGGTTAGCCCTTTAACGTTATCTTGGGATACGAGGAAGAAGATAGTTATTGGTATAGCTAATGGGCTGGCTTATTTACATGGCCTTGATACGCCCATTATCCATAGAGATATTAAGGCTAGCAACGTCTTGTTGGATTCCGATTTCGAGGCCCATATTGCCGATTTCGGGCTCGCTCGACAAGTCCAAGAGGCCCATACACACGTGTCCACGCAGGTTGCCGGGACAATGGGTTACATGCCACCTGAGTACCGAGAAGGAAACACAGCAGCGACGGTTATGGCGGATGTTTATAGTTTCGGAATATTGATGATCGAGATTGCCACGCAAAGCCGCCCCAATTGGCCCGTGAGGTTCGAGGGTAAAGATGTAGGACTAGTGGAGTGGGCTAGAAAAATGGTGGCCGAAAATCGACAAATAGAAATGGTATATGAAAAGATTCCAAGGACAGGGTTAATTGAAGATGAGGTTAAAGAGTATTTCCGGATTGCATGTACGTGTACTAATGAGCTATCCAAAGAAAGGCCTGCCATGAATCAGGTTGTTGAGATGTTGAGTCAGATTTCAACATGAAAAACGATGATAGTAGGTAACATTTTTTTCTTTTTCTAACCGTTCATAAGAATGTTGTATTAGTTTGTTCGTGATCATATCTTCCATGGGGGTGAGATCATGTGAAATGCGTAAATAACTTGTAAGCGTTTAGGCAAATAGCCAATCCTTTTAATCTATTGGTTGGGAAAATTTTCCCCAAGTTGATGTTTGTGATTCAGCATTTATAGATGGAATCCTTACTAAAAAAAAAAAAAAAAATCCCTCGTTTATGAATTTTGGGTTTAACCATTGGATAACATATGTACTTATTTTTGCATTCAAGGATGAAAGAATCAAACTTTGATTATTGGCTACAATACATGCTACGGTACTCCATTTTCAAAGCAGCAAAAATTCTTGCACTGCCCAGGGCAGTTTAACTGTTCATTTGTATTTTCAGTTCAATTGTGCTATTCTTGAATTCCTGACATCTGTTCACTTCATTGCTTAACCAAAACAATTTGTGTTAATTTTAGCCACCTTATATCTATTTTATACTCGACACTAGGCTTCGCTTTAACATTAATTTGCATTATCATCACTTTTAAAATAATCCATCATTTGAGCAACATCCATTCCAAAACTCTCTTCTTCTATTAGATTAGCCTTCCTTCATTCTTCGTTCAAGTTCAAACCCTTAAAAATTTAATGAATTTAATTACTAAATCTAAAACACTTAAACAAACTCATTACAAAAAATAAAAAGAGGGTTTTGATATCATAGAAAACGTGGGCCGTGTGTGTTGAGATCAAAGTGCACGAAGAATACTTCTTTTCTTCATGCTACTAAGAAATCTTCATCTTCCTATAATTAGGCGTAGCATCTGTTGGGGTAAGGATGTGGTGCTCAAAGGTTGTGCTGATTAGCTTATTGGTAGTGGTCACACAACTTCCCTTTGGCATGATAAATGGTTGTGTAATAAATCACTTGCGGATTTCTCTAAGCTGATTATTGATGAGCATTTGGGAAGTCAGATGGTAAATGGTTAGTAAATTCATTGATAGCAATGGCCAATGGGATCGGTCTCGGTTACAATTCCTTCCTAAGGAGATGCTGGACATTCTCTTGCTTATTCATCTGATGTCAGGCAAGATAAGAATGACCAACTTTTTGGTCTGGTGCCTCTAATGGTACGTTTTCGATCCCTTCAGCACATCATTTACTTTTATCCTCCTCCCCATCAACTTTTTGGTTAGAATAAACTTTGGAAGTTGATGTTCCTCCCAGGATTCCATTTTTTCTAGGTTAGTTGCTCATAATAGAATCCTCACCAGAGAGTCCTGGTTTGCAAGGAAAACTGCTCCTTCCTCTCAATGTCCTCGATGTGGTGCGCTTACTGAGAGTGTGCTGCATCTATTACGTGATTGTCGAGTTAAAATCTATTTGGGCTCTTTGGTTGCAGGGTTCTCATTTCGTTGCCTTTGGATGGTTGAGGTTTAATGTTGATATAGGACGAAGCTTATGGTACAGGGTGATATCCCTTGACTTCTGTGTTTTGGATTTGCGTGCTGGCATGTGTGGAAATTTCCAAATAGGCGTGTTTGAGATATACGTGAGAATGTGATTTTTTTTTTTTTGGTGAAAAATTTTAACGGAAGGGGTTAAAGCAGAATATAATTTTTAAAAAAGACTTATATTATATTTATAAATTATTTATCAAGAAAAATTATTAATAACAAAAACCGAACTTATATCTTATAAACGAAATATTTTATCCTTATTAACTTAATCAATTTTTATTAAAGAATGTGATTATTTTAAACTCATAATATAAGTATTTAAGTCATGATTGATACATATGATTACGATAAAATAAAATACGATAATATTACGAATATGATTAGATTAAATAATATTATTTTATATTATATTTGATGTATATAAGAATTAAGATAAGATAATTTATTTATGGATCAAAATTTTTTTTTTCAAAATTTATATAGTTTAAATTATTGATATAATTTTTAAGATTATAATAAAAAATATAAATTAAATATCATAAATTAAAAATAATCGTTTTCATTTTGATTGAATTGAATTATTTTATATTAAAAAAATGATAATCTTTATTATAATCTTACTCTTTTTTTTAAATATAAATAAAATATAATATAAAATAATTATTATCTTATTTTATTCATAGAAAAAACATGATTTTAATAAATTATATTGATTGGGCATGCCCACCTACGAGTTATGGTAAGCGGAATGTAGATGGGGCAACAAGGTCGAAACCAGGGGAATTGGCATGTGGAGGTTTATGCACAGATAGCATATATAGATTTCTAGTTCTTTGGATTTGCTAGGAAAATTGGTTGAGGGCATATTCTGAAGGCTGTACTTTATGCTATTCTTACCAGGATGACTTTGCCATGAAAATTTGGTTTTATATATGTATTTTTTTAATTCATAGGAGGTGCGAGGTCACAAGGGTTAGAAAAAAGTTATAATTTTAAATTTTAAATAGATATATATTTTAAAATGATTACATAAATATTTTATTGTTGAATCACTCACCTTATTGATTTTTATATAACTAATTATTTATAATTATTTTAATTAGACATTACTTTCTCTTTTCTTTTTTTATTTTAAATTCTCCCGAAAAAATTATGTACTCAAATATTCTTATGAAATGAAAAATTATCATGATCAAGATATATCATTATTTGGCAAAACATCTTCCAGATTTTAGCAGCTGCTATATTAATTGCAATAGAATAAGGAAAAGTTGCTGGTAAATTAACACAATCATTTTGTTTGTGCCAAGCTCCGACCTAAAGGTATTCTTAAAAAGGCAAAAAAGAAGGGCGATTAAAGGTAAAGGTAGAGTATGTCCCTTATGTTTGCATTCTGATGTGTAAATTAAAAAGATTCAGGTTAGAAAAGAAGTAGAAAAAAGAGAGAGGAGTAGAATAGACCTCGCTTCATCGTACCTAGACCTTCACATTTATAGGTAAGTTTCGGGGGACCATCAGGTGACAATAAGGACAACATTGAGCTGATGTGGTACTATGCATGTCAGACTGACCTGACATGTCAGGTTGGCACAAATGTTAGAAATACTCTTGGTTATCTGCTAAAAGCTTCATAGAGGAAAAAAAAAAACTATTTTACCTTTTTGATCATCAAATGTCCCTAACACTCTATCCCCTCACCAAGCGATCTGAGTATCAAATTGCCGAATGTTATAAAGGGATGTTATAAAGGTTGGCAAAAAAAGATAACCTGAAAGTTTAATTCTTCAAAGCGGATGTTATAAAAAGAGATCAGTTTTAAGGGATGATTGGTTTTGAGTCGCGATCCCACCTTGTGGTCGTTTAATCTTGCATGTGTATCTTCGGTTGAGTGCATAGTCGGCTTCAAGGTTACCGATGTGATAATTGTTTGGAATGATTCAAGGTTAGTGCTGGAGTTCGTCTGGCTATGGAGAGACTTGCATTTTATTTCAAAAATTTAGATGTGAGCCTTTACTTTAGACTCTGTCAATGAACCAGGCTCTTGGTTTGATTTGAAGAGTCGTCTGATTTAGCCGATTTGATCTGGGGTTTGTTTAGTTAGGCTGATTTAACAGCATTGATGAGGAGAGAGGTAGTCTGAGTGAAAAAATTTAAGGCAAAAAAATGAAAAGATGTCTTCCCATCTATACTTTGACACTTGACACGACCTGTGTCATCCATATGATCTGCAGCGCTTCTATATATAAAGTCATGGGGCTTCAATTTTTGACCTTTCTATTTTTTTTACTCTTAATTTGACTTGGATTTTTCAATCTCAAAAGCTTTATAACCTTTAAAGTTTTTCTACACCTTTTTCAATACATATTCTAGGGAGGTCGTGAGTTATTAGGTAGAACATAGGGGAGGTCAGCACGGGTAGCAAGACAACAATCTGATCCCACCAATTATCAGAGGCGATAATTATGAGAGGATGGCCTACTGGTTCAATCCAATGTACAAGAAATGGCAATGATGAAATGAAGAGAATGATTAGGTAAGAAAAGAAAGAGTTCTGAGCATGAAAAAGTTATGTGCTTAGATTGACTTCGACTTACAAAATTTACCACTTTTTCCTATCTCTCAAGTCGATCCATCATCTATGGCCGACCTTCCTTCATCCTTGGTTGTTTTTTCTTTTGCTCTTCCCCCTATCAAAACTCCTGTTGTCATTTCCATCCCCTCTTAGTCAATTTTTGTTGATATCTCTTCCTCTTTTAAGGGGTCTCTACCTTATCTTTTTTTTTTTCGGGATTGAGTTGCTCTTAATCACTATTCTACCTCAGAATCCTATTTAGAAGTCAGAGTCTTCTGGTGGTGAAGATTCTGACGATGAGGCTTCTGAGGAGGAACAAAAGAAATGGAGTACCTTAATAGGAAAAAGTGATGGCCAGGAAGAAAGCCCTATGGTATAGGACGAACTCCCTAAATTCCCTGTATGTACTCTCTATGGCCTTGACATGATCCCCTACGACATGATGAGTGAACTAGAGTGCAGGGTAAATCTTGAAGACTATTTTAATATGTTTCGCTTATCACATCTGTGCTTTAGGTATAACTTTTTTTTCCAGAAAAGAGTATTATATAAAAATGCCAAACTTTTCAAACAAGGTCACTGATAGATTGGAGCCACATCGGCTTTACGTGTATTGGGATTCCTTCATGGTCGGTCTAAAGTTTTCACTTTATCCTTTATTTGTTTTAATTTTTAATTTTTACAATTTGACTATCACTTAGCTCATTCTTAATTCTATACAGTATATAGTAGCCTTTATCACTTTTTGCCAACACTTAAACATCTCTCTATTCAAGGAATTTTTTTTCTCTTAAAAGACACTCCAACGATAATAGATGATACTTCATAATAGCTTGACCCGATAAAAAATTACTTGTCGAATGCTTGACTCAATAAAAAATTAAAAATTACTCTTTCTTTGCCTCAAAAAGTAAAAAATAAATAAAGATGGTGAGCTTCTACTATCGAGATTCAGGCTTGAAAAATAAAGAGTACGTTTGGTTTTTTTACATATGCACCGATGGCTTTCTCTATCTTGGATCTATTAAATCGAGGTAAAATTTTAGAATCTACCTATAAAGGAGAGGTCATCATTGATGCCAACAAACTGACCTCCTCAGAAGTAATAAATAAGATAAAGTATTTTAGTAGGTTTAAGGTAGCCTCATAGGATTTTATTTTAACTTAATTTTTATTTAACTGTTAGCTCAGTTTTACAAAGATAACTAGCAAGGATGACTTTGACTTCGAGCTATTTTAACACGCTTCCAACTCAAGAGGGGCCAAAAAAATTTAGCTCAAGGCCTTGTCTCATGAGAAAGATAAGGTGGTCAATACCCCACTACATCGTTTTTCTATAAGTTGAAAAATAAAAATCAAGGTTGGTCGAGACTTATCCTTAATCTCGGCATCGACATTTCTTCTTCGTGCTAAAAAGCCATATATAGAGGCCTTCTCTTCCACCATGGAGAACCTTGAGGTTAGGGTATTAAGGCCCAACTCGACAACAATCTCTACCAGCTTTGAGTACATTCCTGATGATGACCTCATCATTAACTTGACTATGGCAAAGAGATTTAAGAAAGTCATGATCTCTCATCTTAGTAAGTATTGATTGACTTCAGCTTAGTTTTATCAGTATTCTTCATTTTGCTAAGTTTAAGGTCATTATGTACAGTTTAACAAAAATTTTCCTTTAACTATTAGAAAACACTAGTAAAGCCCTCTACTACGCCTACCTCGCGATGGCTCACCTATTAAGGGTCAAGAATGACATGGCTACCTTGGTTAAGGAACACAAGAAAAGCTTAGATGCATTGGGCAATGTCTGATCTAGTCTCAGCACATCCCATAAAAAGAAAGTTAAGCAAAGAAAAAGAATTAAAGAGTTGACAGTAAAGCTGGAGGTCATCTTGATTGACAAAGCCTCAACTGATTCAATAAAAAAGCAAGCTGAGCTCAAACTTAATGACATTCAGGTTAAGATAACTAAGGTTAGGTTCAAGCTTAAGGCTAGGGAAATGAGGGATGATGTCTTGAAAAAGAAGGTGATAGAAGAGTTCAAGGCCTCCAATGAGTGCTTTCAAATGAAGGTAGAGTTCTTTAGGAAGAACGTGCTTGATGCTTTCTAACTGGCCACGGACGAGGCATAGTTTAAATTCTCTACTTTTAACCTCAACCTTTCTGATATTGATATCAACAATATTAGATCAAAAACTCATCCAAATCAACTTGATGAGGATGAGAAAGAGAAAAATGAAGAGAAGAATGAGGATAAGAATGAAGTTTTAAAAATTGAGCTAGAGGCAGCTCTAGGGCCCAAGCATGAGGTGGAAGAGGATAGAGAGGGTAAAGTCACTACTGTTGCTCCTGCTGATGATGATGCTACCCCTACCATTGTTGTTGTTGACATTGTTGATGAATAAATTTTTTAACTTTTTGTTTTTAATTTTTTGTAAATTCTTGTTAATGTACGAGGTTAGTTTTTTGCAATAACCTTAGGTAAGGATGATTTGCCTGACAACTTGTGTACTTAATA